ATTTTTTTCTTAATTTAATTGTTTGTGGTTGAGACTATAAAATACTTAGTTTTAATGAATCACAACACTTTAATTAAATTTAGATATATATAATTTTATTTGTATATAATAAAATTAATAAAAAATAATTATAAAAAATGAAAATAAAGTCAACCAGCGGATTAACCCGTAACCCGTTAGGGTTGGATTATGGTTAGACTTTTTCAACCCGCAACTCGTTCATAATCCAACCCGTATAACTTGACCCGAGTTGATCTAATCCGTCTGTTTGCCAAGTAAAGAATTTTGATTTTTGTACGCATTTTATTTTTATTGGTTAAATGTCAAAGTTTTGTCCTTAAACTTTGTATTTTAAACACTTTTGGTCCTTAAACCACTTTTAATACCTTTTTGGTTCATCAACATTACAAATAGTTTTTTTTTTTGGGTCCTTCCATCACTTAAGTAGTGATGTGGTCGTTAGCTCAATCCAAAATGACACTTTTTTGATAATGTGGCAATTACATGTCATTAAATTAGGTTACATGAATTCATGGTGCTCAAAAATATTTTTAGTGAAAATGATGCTTGAGGGAAAAAATGACTTATGAGTATTTTTGTTATTTTTTCAATATTAATATTTTATTTATAAAGAAATTTAATTGGTGAATAGTTTTTAGTGTTTAATTTGTTATTTATCTATTTAAACTAAGTTGTTATTGTTAATATAAATACACATAATTTTTGTTTAATTAATTTAAAAGACCCATTTATATCGGATATATCATCAAAGAATTACAAAAAATAAATTTTTAAATGAGTTGATGTCACATCATGGTTTAACTAACCGAATAATGAAAAAAGTATAACCTATAGAGTTAGGGACCAAAAGAAAGACTAAAATAGTCTAGAAATTAAAAATGTTCAAAATACAAATTTTAGGGACTAACATTGATTTTAACATATAATTATTTGAATGTCTCATGTTCGAAACTATTCTCTCTTGTAGGAGTATATTTTATCATGTACCAAATAATATAAATTAGAATCGATAAAAATCACACATAAGGGGCATTCATCAGATGTACCAAACGTGATCCTTTTCCAAATTATCTTTGTTGGGGAATTTTGTGAGATAGAAACTTACACATTTCTTAAATACTATAGGAAAACATAACTATTATTGAAATGACACTTCATTATTTATAGAGGCCATAATTATTAAGGACACACTTAAATACCATATGGTTATATTTGATTTGTTTGATTATATCAATTTATAGTTGGTTAGGGCATACAAAAACATCAACTTAGATTAATTTCAAATTGTTAACTAATATTATCAACTATCACTTATAAGTTACAATTATTAATTATTCTTAACTACCAAATCAAACACAATCATGATATTTTTGTGTGGCCTTATCAATCATTTGTGTGGTTATAATCATTCTCATTTACAAAGTGATAATTTACATACCCAAGAGTAAGGGATCAACAATTCAATACTTGAGCTTCAACCAGTTCACTGACAGAAACGAACAGCTTATTTCCCCATGTGACACCTACAAATTCATGTGACGCATTATACATATGGAATAACCCCAACAAGTACTCACAATCGTCTTTACTACAGCAACAGAACACAAGTATCTCAAGTTACCTCACAGCTTGAAACGTGATAGAGAAGAGCTGTCAAAGCCTCTCGAGTAGTAGTGCGACAAATAATCCTTAACAGAGGTCTCCCTGTAAATTGGGGGGTTTTCATCTGATAACAGTTCCTTGATCGGTCCATAAACTCTTGATGCATTTCCTGCTTTAACTTGTGTTCTGAAGAAAGAAGCTAATGAAATTCTGGGACCAGCACCCTTTACCAAAACTCTGTGATTAACGCTTTTAAACTTATCATTGGAGATAAGCTACCAACAGAGAGAGAGACAAAAAAAAAAAGAATATGTTTATATAATTTGCTATACTCCACTGTTAAATGGTGTAATAAATGAGAAGATAAAGAAGTTCCTCATATCTGGTTCCTTAACTACATTTTGTGAAACTATTCCCATGCAAGATACAAAAACTTATATAAAGTGTAAGATTTTTTTTGCCAAAAAGAAGAAGAAGAAGATAACTTACCTGTGGAAGATCTCCAATATTCACTACAAGGGCACCTGGTTTGGGAGGAACATCATCCCATTGATCGTCATGAAGAACTTGCAGGCCACCAATTTGGTCTTGCAGAAGTATGGTCATGAAGTCACTGTCTGTGTGGTGGCCAAGGCCCATAGTTAGTGCTGGTTCCGGACATTGAGGATAATAATGGCCAAGCAGGAGCAATCCCTCAGTACAGCCGATGTCAGTAAGGTGGCTAGGACTAACCCCAAGAGCCTCAGATAACAATTCAAATAGTGCAAGCCCCAAAGTCATTACTTTCTTGGAGTAATCCATCACTATGTCTCTGCAATTCATACTTGTAAAAGATGAGGATTCTAATTCAAAAACACTTCTTTCTCCAAAAATCATCATACTACTAGGTACTAACAGCCAATTGCCTTGGGCAGTTTGAGTCATTAGTCTTCCAAGTCCCGTCTTAAATTTCTAAGAAGAGCATTCTTTTCTCAGTCTGAAATTCTATTTCTTTCAACAATGGCGGTCCATGAAGGCAGTGAATTTCAGGCCGGAAGTAACTCAGCTTATGATCGGAGTAGTGAATTGAAAGCCTTTGATGAAACGAAAGGCGGTGTTAAGGGTCTGGTAAATTCTGGGTTAACGACAATTCCACGCATTTTCATTGGTCACCAACGAACCCTCGATAAGAAATCAGGATCCACCGATGCCCATCTTAGTGTTCCGATCTTAGACTCAACTCTGCGTGGGAAGGTAATCGAGCTGGTTGGTGATGCGTCGGCAAAATGGGCTTCTTTCAGGTGGTGAATCATGGAGTTCCCATCAGTGTTCTGGATGAGATGATTGATGGGGTTCGTCGATTTTTCATATGCCACATTTCTAACAATAATTGCAACGCTCCTCCTTGTCATCAAAACTACAAAATCAAAACAGAAATAGATTTATACCTAAGCACCTGGGATCAGCCCTTTGATGTCCATCTTGTGCTTGGTTTTCACCATTTTTTTTTTTTATCACAGCCATGTACCATCCTTCTCAAAAACCTCAGCTCCTCCTTCATTACAGCTTTCCTTCTTTTTATTTTGCTGCCTCAAACAAATTTTGGAGGCTTTGCAACTAAGTTGCATTTTCTGAGTAAATAAAATAAGGAATTGGTACCTCAAAGTGCTGCTTCATCATTTTTTTTAATCTTCTACAGCTTCCCTGGGCTAAGGATTTTGGCTACTCGGTCATGAAAATGACTTGATGCAACGTTGAGTACTCTCTTGGTCACAATCTGCATCTTCACAAGCCATCCTTGCCTTTTTGGACTAATGTTGTAGCATAAAACACCACCCATACCAACAACGTAGAACATCATCAAACCAGCTCTTACTTCTTGCAGATCTTTTGCCTCAAGAAGATTGAAGGACATCAAGTTAACCTTCAACTTCACAACTTCACACACTCTCTTCTGCCTTAACAAATTGGTTACATATTTTTGTCAACCACTTTCAAAGATTGAAGGACCTAGAGTTAACCTTCATCATCACAGCATCTTTGTTGCATTTTTGGTCAGAGGAGTTTACTGTTTTGGGTCAGAAAAAATGGTATTTTGAAAGAAAAAACTTGTTGGAAACTATTTGGGTTTGGCCGAAGTTTGTGGTGGTAGATTACCCTCAAATCTCTTTCACACAAGGCCTCAAAGATCATGAAAGGCTCTGATACCATTTGTTGGTATATTTCTCAAAGAAATGAATGGAGAGAATGTTGAGAAGTAGGGTAGAAAATCTGCAAATGACTTCAAGGCGTGCTGCAAATGTCACTTTCTTTTAGGCTAATTTCGCCTCCACCAGATCTAGATGCAAAAAGGGGTAACTCGAAATGCCCGTAGGATACAATGAAGCACCTTATTGATCTTGCTTTTGCACTAGCAAGATCAACTACTGAACCGTCCTTTGAAAAGCGACAAAACAATAGTTTTTGTACAAGGATTTTTGCAACAATCAAAGTGCAAAAAGGGGCTGTTTTATTTAGATAATAATAGGGGTTTGTTTCTGGTTTCAAGAGTCGAAGAAGAAAAAGAAGAAATAACTTCATATTTATAGGGGCAAGATGTCTGTTGTAAACAGACGCTCCTTTTTAGTTATTATCAATTTATTAACAGATAATAACTGAGTTTTCATGAAATTTATCCATTGGAAACTCTTCAAAAAGTCATTTGGTTTGATTTGAACTCCAAATCACGTGTTTTCTTACTTTCCAAAGTTATCCACTTTCTTCAGAAATTTATCTGAATTTTATCTTTTATTCTGACGTAAATGGTTCGAATCAGATAAATGTAATTTGAATCAAAATCGTAAATTTTCGGATTCTAGTTTTACATAAATGATTCGAATCATATAATTATGATTCGAACTACAGTTATACTTTCTCAAATGCATTTTGTGCAATTGTTTCGAACCAACTTTTTGTAACTCGAACCCAAATCCTGAAAATATTTTGAAAATTCTTCAATAGAGAATCCAAAAGAAGATGAAGAGCATAACATAAACTAAAATGGAGAGAAGTGTATCACTTCAACTCATTTCATCATTTTTGCAGATTTGAATGCCACATTTCTAACAATAATTCCAACAATATTCTGTATAATTTATTCAGAAGCTATTATGGTACTCTTCTAGAAAGATTCAGTCTTTCAAGGGCCATGCTTTAGTGTTTGGAGTTCTTGAGGATATCATATCAATACTGTTTTTACTCCATGATTTTGCATCCTTACTCCTTGATTCTAGTTTTTTGTATTATCACTCCCCTCTAGTCAGCCAATAACATTTGTTGGACTGTTATATGATCAAAATAAATTTGCCTAACGGTTCCAATCACCTCATGCTGATAACTTATGCACTTCAAAATCAAGTTAGGACTAAAGAATCTGTACGTTGTGCCACGTGTCATTTGCATGAAGGTATTGGTCCCTCATGGTAACACAATGTTTTTTTTTCCAACTTTATTATTTTCTAACAAGATATTGGTCTTCAAACTAATGAATGAAGAAAACTACTTTTGCATTTTACAAGGAGAAATAATA